CGATGCTTCACAGAATTTATATATCGATATAACGAAGAGGCCATACTAGCGATGCACAAACTTTCTAACACTGCTCGCGCGATTAGTGCAGATAAAATATAAAGTGTATCGATCGTATGGCATCGAATACCCGATTAGCTTAAATATAACAAACACTCAATTTTCTCACAATAAATATATTATGCATATCGATATGTGTAAATAATAACTAATTAATTGAACATTTGGAAGCTAAATACGTATGCATTTATAGATTCTGACACGATATTAAAATGAAATTAAATGAAGTATGAAATTAAATGAAATACGTGGCGATTCGTTGTAATTACTTGGTGGTACTGGTGCTCTTCGTATTTTTCCTTTAGCATTTTAAGTTTGTTTACTCTAACTTTAGCAAAGAATACATCAAGTGTGTACTATCCATCCGCAGAGTTTTACGGCATGACCTACCACCGCCCGCTTGAAATACTCTGATTAAATGTCGACTGAATGTTCCTCTTCTAGTGTAAACAATAAACATTTTCACAAGATGAAAATTGTATTCTATATTACGCTCCTCTTCGTGAACTCCGCTTTTATATCTTCTTTCAATCACAATAATAACCAGAAAATATTTCTTTCCGAAGTCCATAGATTATACATAATGGAATATAAACTTTACGTTTTTTCTTCACCAATAATAACAAAGTTATTCTCGCATACTGTAGATTGTGGAAAACAGGCTTAACGTATGCGCCGTAACGAAATTTTATTTTCTGCATCATTTTTACATATGCTGCATTATAGATCGACGAATTCCTACTCCGCAAAAGGATATTTACATCGTACGTATGTCGATAAAATATAAATAAATCTTACGCGTTTCTACTCATATTCAATAACAACCTGTCATGGCGGAACTCGCGACACAACTTTGCATACGTATATAACAAAAGTTGGGAACTTATAAGACGTCAGAAAGTTTCTAAGATAATACAACAAGACGCAAACGCGCTCTGGCAACGTCGGCAGCACTACAACTTTCCCAATTTGCTATCTATGACTACAACTGCAGATTCTAACTCAATACACACCCGTTAATATTCATCAAATTGGCCAAGCGTATAACATCTTTAAGGCGTTGTCCAACTTAGCCCAGATCAACTAGAGATAACACTCGTGCTAAACTTTTCCAACTAGACACATTAGACATACGTGACATAGTTAAGTTGGAAGAGATGTAACGTTTTGCGAGAGATAGTATAAATTACATAATGTAACTTATATATAGCGGTTTCATTCTGAGAAATTTCGATATCACGATCTATTTCCAGGCAAACTGTACTCATTTATAATTATCAATTTACGCGTTTCAAATCACTCGAATTGCTAGCACAATGTTTAGAGGACACGTCTAAATATAAAATTTAGTCCGGCTTCATCTGTTTAATCGAACGAAGTAAATTCCTTTGTCCAAATTTGTGCAGAATAAATTCTCTGCTGCATGGATTTCGTCGTGACATAATGCAATAGATATCTGATTACAATGCGGATGGTGTTATTGAAATCTGTACTAGAATCAATATACGACTAGTGAGAATTCCGATATCGATACGGATACTGATGCACTGTAAATTATACGGATGTCCCGAGTATTGCCCGTTTGCTCTCGATTGCCGGCTAAATTATATATTATCTATTTCAGTATCGAGATCAATGTTTTTTTTGAAATATAAAGATTTTTGGATTAATTAATTAAAAATCAAGGGAAGGTATATATTAATATATTTTTATAAAATATATTATCTCAATTCTCTGAATTGCTATTTAAAATATTTTACTGTTATAGATATAATAAATGGATTAATAAATTAATTCGTTTTTTAATTAATTTTAACATTCTGGCTCTAATTTAAAACTATTTTCAGCAAAAGCTGACCCTTTTCAGCTTTTCGACCATTCGCATTGTATAGCGAATGCGTCTCGGTGGATAGTTTTTAATTATGTGAGTATGCGAAAAGCATTACGCTTGTACGTTATTTCAGCGGTTCTTCATGAAGGCATAAAGTATCCTGGATATATCATGAAGTTTTCATAACTCACGCCACTTACCGTGAATATATGCTCAGCCTGGCCGCATCGCCGGCATTACCCCTCGCGCGTTGCGCGACATTTTATTCTACATTTATGATCACTATAAGCTAAGATCGTTATTCCCGCAGCCGTATTTTTCACCATTATCGGCTAATAGACTCGTAAATCGGCGTAAGGCATAAATGAAAAATTGCAGTGACCATGCATCGTTATCGTGCGACGAGCAATCGAATTGGAGTTAAGGCGTCAGATTTTATAATAATAGAAGTTGCATTTTTTTTATAAGTGACTCTCCTTCATCCCTTGTTTTATCTTAATCGTTAAATACTCCAGTTTATACACATAAATAAAATGACACAGCGATCATTACAAATGTAAATGTTTATCGGAGAAAACTTGAGTATTCCGGCTGCACAACATACCAGGCGTAATGAAATAAATTATGAATTGCGCGTTGGGAAATAGCATTACACCGATCACCCCGAATTAGATTATTATTTATCGTTTGCGTCTAAGTTTAGCAGTAATTAGATATGTCCTTCCATAAAATTTGATATTGCTATACCGTTACTAAATGTTTACTGGTATAACTAATAATCTTTAATTAACATGACATTAATTAACATCGCATGATATTGTGCCTTTACATATTAATCGTAATAGGAACTTACCGTACTTGCGAACTATGTATAAATCAGTAAGTAACAACATTTACTTTCTAATAGTTTAGCAACAAGCCGCGTATGCTTTGTACTTATTGTTAGTAATTTTTTTCGCATAAGAGAGAAAAATCCAATATCGAATCGTTGATAAATTACAAAGATATTCGTAAATGTGCACTGCCTCCGCTTTCGTAACTCTAATTGCAACATCGACGTATACTTATCTTCTGTTACGGCGGCCTTAATCTGCCTTAAGTGCACTCCCACGTTCGGCGATTCGGTTCGAATTAAGACATGCAAGAACCGTCGCGGAAGTCTGTTTGCCGCTGCGACAGTGAAATACAGCGGGCCCTCGTTAGCCAAATTTCGGTATTATCAACTCATTAACATATCGTCTCCGAAGCAGAGATAGAGATATAAGAACGTTAATCTCCGTTAAGTGCACTCAAGTTCGTCGATTCGTTCGGAATAACGGCGCGGCAGTGCCCCCTTCCCCTCCGGGTCTCCCCGGTGCTTTGTCTTTCGGGCACCCGCTGCATGGAGGATACCGCAAACGCTGCCCGCCTGCAATACAGCTTGCGCTCCTGCACATAACGGCCCGCGCTTTGACAAGTTTACGACGTTTAACGGGATGCAAATGCAGAGCGGTGGTACGTCCGCGCGCGGGTCCAGTCGGACAATAAAGAGTGGAATACACGAGAGATGTCGGGGAATAAAAGGAGAGAGATGGAATAAGAGAAAGAAGGGAGGGAGGGGAAGAGAAAGAAGGAGAGAGGAGAAAATTGCACGGTGTACAGGAGCGGTAGCGCAATATACTCTAATCCTCGTATAACGGGTGAAGAGAGGCGCATCGGCACCAGGGATTGGCTAAACGCCAACTGCTAGACAGTAGAAACGGTTGTTTCAGCTGCAAACTATATCACTGGTAACTTGCCGTGGCCGCGACGCGTATATGCGCGCGATGCGGCGCGTGGAGAACACGCGAGAGCGAGCGTAAGTACATACGGCCACCAGTTGCCTCCTCTCTCTTCCCAGCTCATAATAATAGATTACGCGTTATACCTCCAGCAACTTTATCACTACGGCGAAACATAGTGCGGATCATATCGGAAAAATAATCGGAAAATTGCTCCAAGCACTATTTTGAGGGAAAAAAAAACAAATGCTTTCACGGTTATTGCGTTATTTTGTCAAAAATATAAAACGAAAATCCTTAAATCGTTTTGAAAGTTACTCCGCGCTATTCCATAGCCGAATGTGAATACAAAATCGATGTCTTAATTTTAGCGAAAATTCAAACAAACATGCTACTTGCTAAATGATGAGTATGACTGTGTAGCAGTAATCGTTATAGACTGCAGCTATTATTGCTAGCTGTTCCAATATGAAAATCTTAATTTCAGACTCTACGTTTATATTATAACTACTAATTATTTTAATAGATTTAGAAGGCACTTTTGAGAGTATATAGAATGCCGGTTCGATCGTAACATCGCGCAAAAAAAGACCAGAGTGCTCGAAAATATTTACGGAGCCGTGTTTCCATAAGCGACCGGTAGCGATGGCTTTTGGGTAACTGCTGCTACGTCTCTTACCATTCGGTATATTTACGCCAGTACTAGACTTTGCGGACGAGTGTTTTCGTCTCGCTGGCTATATCGTTGGCAGCTCACTGCGTATATACGCGGCGAACCTACACGTACGTAAGTACTTACGACCACCAGTTGCCGCCTCTTTCCCTGGTGTTACATCCATCGAAGTATAAAGCGTCGTTCAGCAGCGTGGACGGGATGGTTTATTGATCATTGCGGCGGAAGCAAGAATTACCTTCGTTCGCGCCCTTACGTCGTAAATATAAAAGAAACATCTCGGTCCTGACAATTGCGTTGAGATATGACCTACCGCGTTAATAAAAAGAAAACAATATATGAGTGAATGTTTATTTAAAAAAAAAAAGTAAAACGTCATCCATAAATATAGTAGAAAATACATCATTTCTTTACATCATTTAATCTTAAAATGTTATTATACCTTCTCCTTGTACGTAATTTTTGCAAGACTTTTATATCTATACACATATTAAACACAATCGTGTTACTGTCGTGTCAAATAGTGTAAAATAACTATTTCGTACCGCAAGGTATTGGTAATGCTATTTGAATAACTAGGTATCGATCATAACCATTTGTTCGTTATTGAATATGTGTAACAGCCACGTGCAGTGATCCGTGAAACCTCTATATTAGCATATGTATCGGGATGAAACGTGTGCAATATAATGATAATATTAATATATTTTAGACAAATGTAATTGGTATGATTATAGAAATAGGAGATATATATGTATCTATGAGTGGAGGAATAGAGATTTTCATACATATATATACTTACATGAAAAGCTCTATTTTATATAAAGTTCGATAAAATTTTGATGCAATTTTAGTAGTGCGAAACGGAACTCGTTACACGCACTTGTATGTGTGTGTGTGTGTGTGTGAAATAATCCATCTTTCTTCCTAATGAGAGGCATGACGTAAATATCAATGGATAACTAGCAAATACATGCGCGTATTAGAGATCCTATTTAACGCTTCCGTCATTTCCCAGTTAGTTGATATTGATGCAGTAAGCCGATTTTGTGATACACGGCAACATTTCTGTGTGTTGCAATGATCGATTGCAGTTCTCATAAAACATGACACAATAATTCAATTCCTATTGTAGTACACAATTCCTACATTCAAAGTTGTAACGTGTAACGAGCGACTGGCGCCTGCAGGACGCATTACAATTTTGCTGGCTCGGTCAAGCCCCCGCGAAAGACGAACATTCCGATTTTATTTCCGTCGTAGCGCCTAACGAGATATTGATACAGCAACGAGACCACCCATAACTTTCCACCCCAGAACCGCGTATATAGACTCTTCCGCAGTCACTCGTCGTTACGCGGAGGATGGGCCTCGGTAAATCCACGTTAGTATGTGCGGAGGGTTGTGAGCGTAGCCTGAGTAACCACCCTTCTTGTTCTCGAGCACCGTCTATAACATCGTTCCTGAGTTCCAGGACGTTGCTGGACGACTTGAAAATTTATTACCAGGATAGGAGAGGAAAAAAGCTGCGGAGAACCCGACTTCCTGGCGATATACTTGCCTCCGCGTCTGACCCTTAATTCCCCCGGGACGGACAGAAGTAGCGACTTTAAATTGCGTACACCGCTTAACCGGTAGATTTTCCCGTGTCCGGGATAAAATGTTTCCTGATACCCCTTTAGTCCCGGCCACGATATCTGCGTAACGTGAGAAACACCCAAAAACTTTCAAAGACGCTCTTTTCGCATTTTGTTTTACGACGATAATCGAGAGCGTATCAATATAAAAATATAAATGTTAAACATTTTCTCTGTGCGTAGCAAGATACTTGTATCATTTTTACTCACTCGAATAGACATGGTTATGGTCATGGAGTTTATTCATGGATATACACATTTATTCGTGTATAGGAAACGAATAAAATCGTCCATAAAATCTCGTCGTTACATTGAGAATTCAACGCGTAGAATATATACCAGAAAGTTGTCTTTATATGCGGTGCACGCAACGAAGGTCTGAGCCCTCATAAAGCCGACTTGTATAAAGCGTTACTTAAATGTACCGTGAACAGATCATCCATCCTGAAAGCGATCTGCGATCTCCGTTGGTAGACATACTCGTATTTACCATGATAATCCAAGCCGGGAAGGATTCGCGAACACGTATGTACAATACAACAAAAATGTCGATTCCGCAAAAAACAATCGTCGATACACGTGTAATATTTTCGGATACATAACGGCATTACATAACGAAACATTGTCATATGTACCCGTTCATTTGTCACTCGCTAGGAAAAACTCGTTTCTTCATTCGTACAGTCAGTCCGATATTTTTATATCTCGCGGAAACCAACTGTCAGTTGCACTAAAAATAAACTGACCGCACCAAAATTCACTGGCTGTGATGTACGCGACTCGCAAATCATACCGGCAATTATTCACGTCTCCGTGAACTGGAACGTATGAAAAATATGATGCATTTCGTATATTGGATGGTATTAATTTCGAGATGGACACGCATATTAGTAAACGCGTTCACACGAATCGTAGATGTGAAATTTAAATTTAATAAATTTTTTCCACGATACACACGTTCAGATTTTTAAGCAAATTTAATTTTCTGAATCTAATTCAAGATCTTAATATAAATTTGATAAATTTTACCAAAAATAGTAAATATGTAAAATATATTAAATTAACAATTAAAACATATTTATACAGAATATTTTGCAAATTATACAATATAAATGTGAAGGAATGTGGAACGTCATGTAAAAAAGATAGTTGCAAAGTAAATTGAAATAATTTATACATATACAAATAATTTAAATTAGACAAAAACAAAAAGTGCATGAATTGGATATTTTTTTAAGAAATAATTGCAGATATTTTCAAGCAATTTTTGTTGTCAATGCGATTAACTAAAAATAAAGTGCTGTCCTCGTCAGGAAAATAATTGCACAACAACCGCAAACAACAAAATCGATCAAGTGTTACCAGCTGCTAGGCTTTATCTATGTTTCAAATAGAAATTACCTCACTACGGAAACCGTTTACCATTTATAGATTACAACGAATGCCTTTCTTCATTCGGACAGTTTCAACAGAGAGCAATCTGAAAGTGGATATACCCGCGTATTAAATGAAACCCGTTTACTGGCGCCTCTATATATACAAAGCGCGCACGTTGAACTATGTAGTCACGGATATTTTCGATGGGTAACCATGATCTTCTGAAATTTGTTTTATATATTATGTATGTACATTTGATTGATTCTATTCCATTCTATGTCCACAGAATATAACAATGCAATATAAAAATAATAACTACAAATTGAAATAATTTAAGTTTAAAAAAGACAAAAACGTAAAAAAAATGTCAAGTATTTTAATAGGATATTTATGCAAAACATATATCAAACATAAGGTACAGAAAAGATTAAATATAATGCTATTAAACATATTTATTATAAAAAAAATCTACAAGCAGTCCTAACATTTTAAGCTATATTAGGTTTTGAGCAAATATAATTAAAATAAAATCCTTGATTAAATTTAAAATTTTTCTATACAAAACTTATAATTTAAAAATTCATAAAAAGTTTAATTTAATAAGAACAAGTCAACATATAAAAATATTTTTTTCCATGTGTGATTTTTTTTTAAACCTTGGCATAGGTTTTCTTGTCAAAACCGTTAGATTAAAAATACATTATTCTCATTGTTAGTAGAAGGGACATGACTCGAGTTAACAGTATGTCACTGTTCGCTTTAACGAAACGCTTAACAGAAAACGGCTTCAATGAATACTTATCAATTTGGCAAATTCATTCTTAATTAATAAATTTGTCTTGATGATATAGCGGCATTTTGCGAAGTAATTTTTAACGCAACTTTTTTCTATTTATTAAATGCGAATGTAGAAATTATAAATCATTTAGTTACAAAATATTCGTGCGAAATTGTCAATTCTCGACAAAAATTTGAATTAAAATAAACCGTATATTGCGTTTTAATTTCTTCGTTTGTCTGACTATGGCTTGCCAATCAAATTAAAAATCCGAGTTTCGATATAACACATCTCGTCATCAAATCTAGTCCGCAAAATCCAGGATAGATTGCACGTAATTTTTAGTTATAAGGAACAAAATTTTATTCAATGTAAAATTTACATTGAATATTTTACAAAACATTAAATGTTTCGTTTAAGTTTCAAGGCTGGCCTTAGCGTTTATTTTTTTTTGTTAATGCGAGTATATCCACTCCCAAGCTTCTCTTTGCTTTCAAGATAATGTGGCCGATACTATATCGAAAGAGAGATCCTAAGAGAAACCAGCTCTGAACACAAGCTTGATCATCCACTGGCAACGATATTACCGACTGCATTCACTCTATCGAGTCTGCCGTGAAAGGACGAGCTCTCCTCTCATTCAAAGAGATGCCGCCATGGCCAGCGATTTACGCTTGTTTCATGGCTTATAATGATATTTCTGTAATTAGAAATAGACATTTATAATAAAACTCCCTTTTTTACATTGTCTTTAATCCGTCACTTAACGATTCCACGATGCTTCATGTGGCTCATGAATGCGAAGTCGAGACCGACCAGGAAGATGTATTCTTTCTTCTCGATCGCAATTTCTTCCGAAAAGCGTTTAACGCCTTTCGCTCTTCGCTGATGGCATCAGAAAGAAATCCAGGTGCCCGCAAGTATTTACGCAGCCACGCTTCCATAATTTCGGAAAAACGACGGCATTTTCAATACTACAAGCATATTCTTCATCCCTTCAGTACTTTTAGGTAATATTTCCTTGACAAATTCGTATAATCTTTCTATGTATGTATTAGTATGCATTTACATTATCAAATCAGATATTTTTTAAACTAAATCAAATCTTTTATAACGCAGATTTTTCTGGGATATCGTAATGATTTTAACGATAACGTGCTTACTATTGGCTACTCCGTATTACGCTGCCTTTAAAATAAAGAAGCGTTCACCTTATTGGACAGTTTGTAAAAATCTCTTACTTTTCCTTTGTTGCATGGACATAATCGTTAATTTTATGACAGGGTACAGTTTAATCAAATTTATTTTACTGCGCTAATATATCCGCAATTTTCGAAGAACGCAACACGGGAATGTAATTTCTGTGTTGTATTCTAACGTTCTTATGATAATCAAATTTATTGAAGTTTCTATAAAATTAAAATTTTTTTTAATTCATTGTCGGGCAGATATTTTGACAAGCTACTTCAGAGTGTTGTGATGGAACCGAAAAAAATAATGAAGAACTACGTAATATACGGTACTTTCTTACCAGACTTGCTGGGCTCTCTACCAACTGACATCGCGTTTGTTATAACGTGGCAGGAGGCTACAGTCACGCGCGAGTTGGTGTCTTTGATGTGCGGATTTCGCATGTTCTCTCTCAGTTCCTACATGACAAAGATTGTTCACGCATACGACGTACCGGTTACCCTCTATGAAGTCTGCGTCATGATATTTTGGCTAATGTTAGCGTTTCAGTGGCAGTCTTGTCTGTACTGGATAGTGCCAATAGCGACGACCTCCATGCACCTACCGAGGCAACCGGACGACGACTTCTGGATACACGAGTTTAATCTCTGGGAAGAATCCAGAGCTCTGCAGTATCTGCACAGTCTCTTACGCGCTGTTACCATTTTCTTGTCGTCGGGCTTTTTACACAGGAAGCCGAGAAACGAGGCGGATCTCACGCTGGTGATCCTCTTGCAGATCTTAGGGAGTCTAGTTATCTGGATCCTGATAGCTCGCGTAAATCAGCTCTACAGGAGCACTAACAGCTCCAGGATAAAGTATCAAGACATCATGGCGCAGGTCAAGGAGTATATGAAGCGTCGTCAGTTACCGTATTTGACTCGAGACCGTATTGTAGACTACTACGAGTTTTGCTTTCAACATCGATACTTCTACGAGGTCGAGATCCTCAACACTCTGTCGCCGCAAATGCGCCAGGAGATCGGTATGCACGTCTGTCGCAAACTCGTGGAGAACGTCACATTTTTCAGCAATCTACCCCTCTTGTTACTGACGCGCATCGTCGCCCTACTGAAGTCCGAGATATTTTTGCCGAACGACGTGATTGTGCGGGCCAATCAACCAGGTGACTGCATGTACTTCATCGCCAACGGTACGGTGGCTATTTATACCGTTTCCGGAAAGGAAGTATGCCACTTGGAGGACGGCGCGCACTTCGGGGAGATCGCGCTGGTGATGCCGGACTCGCGGAGAGTGGCCAGTGTCGTCGCTGTTGACATCTGCGAGTTGTATCGCCTGGATCGCGCAGATTTCGCCAGAACGATTCATCCCTATCCCATGCTGTGGGAGCAAATTAAGAAAATAGCTATCGAGAGGCACGAGAGAACGACCATACTGGAAATGCATTAAACATCGCAAAAGTATTTTATTTAAAAAAATATATATCGTCTCGTTATTACGGTGTACCTATTGGAAACGGCAAAAAAATCTTATTTGTGTGCAACTTAGTTACGATATTAAAGGCAATATTGATATCGATATTAAACGATTAAAAGTGATATTTAGCGACGCGTTATATGGAGAACAAGTTAAAAATTGATCTTTTATCTACGATCGTTATAATTATACAAACCGAATGCAACATTGAGACTATCGAGCGGGCAATAAATTTTAAAGCTCCAATTATCTGCCGTCGCAACGTAGCATTAGCGTATGGAAATCATATTTTCGAACAATACGTTTGCAATTCACGTGCTTCATCCGTATAGTTCTTTAAAAGGTATAATATGTTCTAAACTTATTGCATCGCGCTAATATCAGGTTATAAGAACTGCCGTTGAATTGTTACGATTGAAAGAATTGTTAATGATCGTTGACGATAATAGCGGAAAATTGTTAAGGAACCGATAAATTTCAAGACTCCGATAACTGTTTCTCCGTAACCCAACATTAGGGCAGATTTATTACCCTGGGACGTGGATCAAGAAGATCGCGATCGTGCGCCGCGGAAGACTACAATTTTCAATGTACTGTAGATCATCGGTAATATCATGTAGCAAGAGAAGAATGCGTGATCACTTCTTAAGATGAATTCGTGATAATTACAGTTTAGCGCCGCCGCAACCACGACCGGAACTCGGACTCGTTGTTTTTGCGAACGTCAAAAATCAAGTATATCGATTCGAAATGCATCGCGCGTATCAAATGTATCGAGCTTCGAATCGGCAAGCGGGGCACTTAATATAATGGAACGAGAAACGGAAGGACGTCTCTTCTTTCTCTCTCTCTCTCCCTCTCTCGCTTTGTATAACCGCGCATCGACGCAACTAGCTCACGCTATTAATACTTATCGGACGGTGGGATCATTATCTTTTAGCGCTGGTTGTAAGATCCGTAGTTGATTGTAGTCGGTGTCCCGGGATATTGCATTAAGAATACGCGTGTAACGAGAGAAGGCCTGATTTACTTGACGATGCGTGCTTATCTGAAAGATTCACATATCGAGTTAGCCCGACCGGTTCTACCTGAATATCTGCGTGACGCGATGCAACGATACGTTATCCGTTATTAATGAATGCAGTTTTCACGATAATTGTTTTTTGTCGTTACAGAACAAACTTGTTCTTTCGCCGGGGCGAGGAATGTCTAGCAGGAAAACTTCGATGGCACGCGTAAATAATATGCACATGTTGCTAAAATAAATAAAAAAAATAACTATCCTCGGAACTTATTATTAGATCTAGCTACATGGTAGCGTGGTAACAAGTTCGTACCTCGATGATATATCTCACTTCTCTGATGTTAAACGCGACAAATATGTATTCCGATTATCCTGCGTTCGTAAAAAGCGGTATAAACTACCGCAAAAGAGAAAAGTGAGCTTTGGCTGCCGCATCGTTGCACGTAGTAAGGACAAAGCAAAAGCGTGCAAATCGCGGAGACGTACAAAGTGGTATAATAAATACACGTTAATTACTTAAAGAGAGAGAGAGAGAGAGAAAGAGAAAAAGAGAGAAAGTTACTGTGTATATATCACATTGGTGATAACTTAATGCACAAATTTAATGACAAATTATATTATCGTTGCAATCATATAATCGCGCAATATTACGTGTACGATTGCAATAAGTATAATCGACGATTTGCGACGTGAAATTTATATATAATAATTGGCCGAACAGTCAAGCCGAGAGACAAATCTATCATGCTTACGATACCGTATAACACCTTTCCGACGGAAGGGGATTACACAGATAAAGGCAATTAATATATACTCTACTAGTGGCGGTCATGGGTGGTCGACCGCGCAGAAACTCACGCCTCGCCTGCAGGGCTTCCACCGTGGAAACGGCGCGGCGTTATCCGATGACGGTGGAGAGCCGCCCATTCGACGTGAAACAATGGTTCGCGCGCATCGACGCATGGGCAGAGAGAACCGCCGATGACAATGAAACGTTTAGGAGGGCTGGCCATTGTAATAGGCCGACGATGCGCCTGCTTGGTAGCTCCCGACGGCGTACACGCACTGGCGTATCCCTACTGCCGCGCGCGCACACCGCGGCTTCGGGCAGAAAGGGGAACGCCGAGCGTCAGGATAGTACGAACGGAAGATAGAGAGAAAGAGGGAGAAAGAGCTCCGCTATTGTTATCAGCACCGGCCGACCGTGGATTCGGTTGGCGAGAGCGAGACGGAAACACTCCTGTGGCAAACGAGTGAAACGCGCGACGATGAAACGAGAGGAGAAACAGAGAGACGAAGGGGGTGAGACTGCGAGAGCGAACGGAGGAGAGACGAAAGAGAGAGAGAGAGAGAGAGAGAGAGAGAGAGAGAGAGAGAGGAGAGAATCGTTGTGGCTATGGTTATGTGGCCACACCCCGCGGAGCCAGCCAACGAGCTCTCCGCCGACCGGCGACCCACCTGACCCCACAATGGGCAGATCCACGTAGCTACGCTCGGTAGCTGCGCATTGTTCCCCCTCTGTGCGAGTTAAGCGGCGTGCGTGCCACTTAAAACGGAGCGCGGAAACGCGCGGAATGGGCGAGATACACGGAGGGTAAAAAAAACAAAAGAGACGATGCGCGCGATGGTATACACATCCGAAACGAGCCTCCCCGATTGAGCATGTCATTTACGGTACGCGACACGATGACAACGCCGAAGACGCTGAAGACGCGATACGTTTCAGTCAGCTTGAGGTCGTTAACGTGTTTAACGGTGCATGAGTGATATGAAATCGCGATATGTCTTTTAGAATATACATCGAAGATGTCGCAGATAATTTGACTCGGGAGCTACTTCAGTGACCACATTCTTTCTCTAATCACTTCCCTGTCGTCTCGCGTACACGTTGGAGAATGAGGGAGAACACGCTGTATAGAGACATTGAGCCCGTTGCTCCTGGATGCTCAGGCGGAACGTGCAGCGCTTCGAGAGCGTATTGGCGAATGTGAAAGTCCATAAAATGAAGATTACTTTAAGTTAAAGGGACATTAACGGTTTAAGGAGTTCTGTAAATCTTCTTACTATATGCACATTCTCGTTAATGATTCACGATGTATATGCACCTTCAGATATTAAAGCAAAATCGTGGACGTATTCTATTGCAGTCACGTCAGACAAGCAGTAAATCCCGAGGGTCAAGATTGAATAGCATGCATATATACGTTCGAGAAATCGCGGAACACTCCCCGAGTGGTATGCCTCAACGGAATTAAAGCGTGGAAACGATTCAGACTCGTATCGCCGATGCGACAGCGAGATTGAGTCTCGTAACGTCTTCGCGCAGATATCCAGATAGACAGATACGCGGAGCGTATACACCTACATCAACAAAACCCGGCGACGGCGACCCTGGCTGCCTTCTCCTCTGCGATGGGTCGATACTCTGCAAGCCACCACCCTCCCCCGCGCTACCCTCACCCCGCGACTCTCGTGCCTCCTCTGTCTTTTGCCCCTACCGCCGCTGTTTCCGTTCAACCCCTTCCATCCTTCCTCTCACATACCCATCTTCACCCACCATCGTACCGTTCTCTCATCCCTTGTACTTCCTACCCCTACGTCGTCCTCCGTTACCACTTCCTCCTCCTTCTCCTCCGGCCGTCTCTGCCTTCCCGCCGCTGCCACCGCCGCCTCTTTTACCCTCGGTGGCCTCGTCCATAGGTGTACCGGTTGATTGATCGTTTATCGATACGCAGAGGGCCCACCCCGGCGAGTTGCGGGTACGTCCTACACCCGGTCCTCTGCCGCCCTCCCGTCCCGCGTCCCGATCGTTCCCACTTTCAAGTATACGCATTACACATTTATAAGGGCGTTAAACACGAGCCGCATCGATGGCATAGAACGCTGTACAAGGATATATATGCGTATTTCCCTCATCCTCTCCGTGTTCTTCCCTCCGCGCCTCTCTTGATACTCTACCCTCCGTTCTCTTCCCTACCTCCATTCCTACCTCTCTCTCTTTCTCTCCCTCTCCTCTTCCTCTCCTCCCCCCTCTCTCTCTCTCTTTCTCCTCTCCTCCCCCCTGTAAAGCCAACCGGCCGCCTGGCCAACGAAGCCCCCCTACATCGGTTTTGTGTAGGAAGAGCCATGCTCGATTGGTGTCGGTGTGTTTGTAAGCGCGCCGGGCAACGTCAATGTTTCGAGTCGAGCGTCCGCCCCCATTATTTTACCCCCGGCCTTGGAGCCCGCCATCCCATCGACTAGCTCTCTATACAACACGGCGCGCCATCTCCCCCTCCCTCTCTCCTCCATTTTCCTCCCTCACAGTTCCTCCCCCGCTCGTTCGCGCCGCGCAGAGATCCCGATACACACAGCCGATACTTATTGATATGGGCTTCCGTTTACCGTTGACTACATACGTGACTTAACCGCCGGCCCCATGCACTTCCGAAACTACTACATCAATTTTTAACTGCGCAGCCGGATTTATCGGAGCTTATATTCCGCCCCGTGCACGCCCGAGCAACTGCGCTTGTGCCGCTTCCGCGAGTTTCTACTATTCTTGTATCTTGTTTCGGTATACTTTAGATCTCTCGTTACTCCCATCAAATTCTCAGTCAAGCGGAATATGAAACATGTGCCGAGAAGCACTGTGTATGTTTCTATAATCATGTCTTCTATTTCTGCACAGAAATATTCACAAATTATCGTGCAGACAGTAATGGTAGAACCGATACGAACGCTTGTCACGTTCGTAGTGATATCTTTTATCGGTCAAAAAAAAAAGCTAATAACGTCATTCGTTAACGAAGTAAAGCAAGGTCGCAGGTTCGGGACTCTCTCAACCCCTCCCCGCGAGCGTTAGCTCCCAGTCGTGACGTGGCACCACGGTGTTGACTGTCCGTCACACATCCCCGAGCCCGAATGACGACGTTTATAAGCTAGTGTCAACAACGGTGGGTAATGATGTGCGGCCCCCATGTTCAGCAACCAAGAGCTTCCCGGCGGGCGGTCGGGCACCCGCAACGTATCATCCCGTCACGCTACATTGAACGTCATTGTCCGAACTAAAGTCGCCGTTTATCGCTCAACGGGTGACGGTACGCGAGCAGAGAAACTGAATACGCCTCTAGCCCGTACGGCGTCCGTTCCCTCGCGGCGACGATGCAAAAAATCGCTACTCGAAAAAACGACGTATCGATTTATGCGCGTCCATGATCGAAGATCGTTCGTATAGCTTCCACCA